AATCCTAGTGATGGGTCTCAAGCCACAGTCTACTAGGCATTTGATCATAATTGCGTGATAATGTGACATTTAACCGGAAAAATGATTTAAATAAGCATAAATAATATGAAAATTAAAGAGTACTTATCTTTAAATGGGCTGAAATTGTTGGGCTCATAAATAGACTGTATGGGCAGATGTAGCAATTGGACCTTTATTCATTATTGGACAGCTCCCCTAGCACATTGAACCTAGCACATTGAACCTAGCCCCCTCAAATCTGCAAGTTGCGGTCCTCTTAATTGAGTTCTAGTTAGGTCATGTGTGGCATGGCCCACTGCTGCCCTAGACCAGTTGGTACCAATCTTGGCAAGCCCTTGATTAGTCTGGCCTACACTCATTCAAGAAAGTGCGCGGTGGAGAGATACAGAGTACTGGAATAGGTTTTACGGAGTACAATAATACCGAGTATGGCTAAAAGTCAAACTGACCCCACATGGTATTTCTCATTTCTAAGCCAAGCTACCTACGAGTATGGCTAGAAGTATAGGCATAGTGGGATGTACTTTTAATAATTAAATATTGGGGGGTTACCCAAAATGGTGGAAAGTGAAGGGGAGGTGAACAAAATCACCGGCCTCCACTCTACTGGCTCGATGGATGCAAAGTGAAGGGGAGATGTACCCAAATCAGCGCGACTGGTGGAAAGGAGGCTATCCTCCAGCCATGGTCTTTGTCAAAGAGGGAGAAGAATTCCTCGATGTTGCTGCCTTCTGGGTCGTGAGCGGAGAGCTCTCACACAACCATTAATGGCGGCTGGAGAACGTCGAGCTTAAGCAAAGCAAGAGACGTTGCGGTGGAAGCGGTAAAGCCCGTGCTCCAAGTTGCTCGTCACCCCAGGAGCTTCAAGGCGGCCATTGATGGTGGAAACGAGTTGCGAACAGGAAGATGGAAGAGCATGCGGTGACCAGGAGCTTCGAGCGGCCCAGCACTGCGACGACGGAGGTGGACTTGCGGCCTGCGAGTCGCAGTGCCTTGGGTTGGAGGCCTGGTTTTTTGTGATTTGGGTCGGAGGCATGCGTCTTCACTTCCAGGAGCTTTAGTCCGCCATTAATGGCGGATACCGTTAAGCCAGAGAGAGCCACTAGCGGTGAGGGCGTTGTGGCGAAGGTGGGTGAATGAATAAGAGCTACCGGAGGCCGTGCTTCGCCGGAGCCTTTGGTCGCCGGACCAACATTGGATCCAGTCTTCCCTCTGGTTTTAAATTGCTCCGGTTGACCAGCCAGTTCGGATCTGGCCGGGAATGCCCCGGATCTGCAAAAATCCAGACTTCTTTTTTATTTTTTGGATTTTCAGAATGATTTTTGACTGATTTCTCCATTTTGGATGAATTTTTGGGTTTTTGGGGAGGTTTTCTCACTTGATTGTGTTCAAACCTTTCAACGAGAGCACCATTGTTGGATAATTGATACCCATATTGTATAAACTAGGAGATTTGAACAGGAATGTAGTAGGGAAATGGGGAAGAAGAAGATGAATAGTGTATAGAATGAATATTCATTGTATGAGTTGTGTAGCCTCCTAAAGGAGTATATATAGTAATATCCGGGTCTGGGCCTCTAATATGGGCCTGACAGACCCGGTTACATAAATGGACAGATAGTACAAAAAACTAATCTAGAACATCTGAATAATAATAATAATGTACAATAATATGAATGATATCCGCTAAACGTGTGTGGGCCGCTGTCCAGGCCCAGTAGTCGGCAGACCGGGGGGTCGGAGTCCATATATTCCATCAGGAGTCCCCCACTCCCTGAGTCGAGGGTACTCGAGACGAAAGGGAGTAGTCCAAACTGTATTTGCAACGTTCTTCTGTCTTTGATTCCTTCCTCTCCAGCCGGGGACCACCACCCTTGTCCATGATGGGGAGGTGCCTCATTAAAAACCTTTACTAGGAAAAAACCCAGTGGGAAAAAATCCTAATAAAGGGAAAAAGAGTACACCTAACGCCCCCAACATGAAACAAGGAAGGTAGGCCCCCTCCAGCATAATCACTTTTGTGTAGCTCAACCTGTCTTCATGTGACTTAGCTCTCGTTCCTGCTTATGCGTGATATCTGCTGCTCATCCAGAAAATCTGACCTCTCAAAAACCCAGTCCCCCACTCCTTGAGGCGAGTGGAGACGAGGTTAAAAATGAGTAAAGTCATTTTCGTACCTACACATTTAAAATGCATATAAAATTTTTCCTTGGGGTTTATGTTTCCGATCGGGAGTTCGTCACTTGAAAAAAGTGGAAATGTGAATTGTCGATGTAATGATAAAATACTTAGTAGAGTGGACATGCGAGTCATTCGTACGCAACGGTCGCCACTCTTGGAATGACTAAGACCGGTCTTCGTGCCCGACTTGGTCGGGGCTTTGTGCCTGACTTGGTCAGGGCTTTGTGCCTGCTCTGGGTCAGGGCTTTAAATCCTAGTGATGGGTCTCAAGCCACAGTCTACTAGGCATTTGATCATAATTGCGTGATAATGTGACATTTAACCGGAAAAATGATTTAAATAAGCATAAATAATATGAAAATTAAAGAGTACTTATCTTTAAATGGGCTGAAATTGTTGGGCTCATAAATAGACTGTATGGGCAGATGTAGCAATTGGACCTTTATTCATTATTGGACAGCTCCCCTAGCACATTGAACCTAGCACATTGAACCTAGCCCCCTCAAATCTGCAAGTTGCGGTCCTCTTAATTGAGTTCTAGTTAGGTCATGTGTGGCATGGCCCACTGCTGCCCTAGACCAGTTGGTACCAATCTTGGCAAGCCCTTGATTAGTCTGGCCTACACTCATTCAAGAAAGTGCGCGGTGGAGAGATACAGAGTACTGGAATAGGTTTTACGGAGTACAATAATACCGAGTATGGCTAAAAGTCAAACTGACCCCACATGGTATTTCTCATTTCTAAGCCAAGCTACCTACGAGTATGGCTAGAAGTATAGGCATAGTGGGATGTACTTTTAATAATTAAATATTGGGGGGTTACCCAAAATGGTGGAAAGTGAAGGGGAGGTGAACAAAATCACCGGCCTCCACTCTACTGGCTCGATGGATGCAAAGTGAAGGGGAGATGTACCCAAATCAGCGCGACTGGTGGAAAGGAGGCTATCCTCCAGCCATGGTCTTTGTCAAAGAGGGAGAAGAATTCCTCGATGTTGCTGCCTTCTGGGTCGTGAGCGGAGAGCTCTCACACAACCATTAATGGCGGCTGGAGAACGTCGAGCTTAAGCAAAGCAAGAGACGTTGCGGTGGAAGCGGTAAAGCCCGTGCTCCAAGTTGCTCGTCACCCCAGGAGCTTCAAGGCGGCCATTGATGGTGGAAACGAGTTGCGAACAGGAAGATGGAAGAGCATGCGGTGACCAGGAGCTTCGAGCGGCCCAGCACTGCGACGACGGAGGTGGACTTGCGGCCTGCGAGTCGCAGTGCCTTGGGTTGGAGGCCTGGTTTTTTGTGATTTGGGTCGGAGGCATGCGTCTTCACTTCCAGGAGCTTTAGTCCGCCATTAATGGCGGATACCGTTAAGCCAGAGAGAGCCACTAGCGGTGAGGGCGTTGTGGCGAAGGTGGGTGAATGAATAAGAGCTACCGGAGGCCGTGCTTCGCCGGAGCCTTTGGTCGCCGGACCAACATTGGATCCAGTCTTCCCTCTGGTTTTAAATTGCTCCGGTTGACCAGCCAGTTCGGATCTGGCCGGGAATGCCCCGGATCTGCAAAAATCCAGACTTCTTTTTTATTTTTTGGATTTTCAGAATGATTTTTGACTGATTTCTCCATTTTGGATGAATTTTTGGGTTTTTGGGGAGGTTTTCTCACTTGATTGTGTTCAAACCTTTCAACGAGAGCACCATTGTTGGATAATTGATACCCATATTGTATAAACTAGGAGATTTGAACAGGAATGTAGTAGGGAAATGGGGAAGAAGAAGATGAATAGTGTATAGAATGAATATTCATTGTATGAGTTGTGTAGCCTCCTAAAGGAGTATATATAGTAATATCCGGGTCTGGGCCTCTAATATGGGTCTGACAGACCCGGTTACATAAATGGACAGATAGTACAAAAAACTAATCTAGAACATCTGAATAATAATAATAATAATGTACAATAATATGAATGATATCCGCTAAACGTGTGTGGGCCGCTGTCCAGGCCCAGTAGTCGGCAGACCGGGGGGTCGGAGTCCATATATTCCATCAATCCTATTCTTAACTCTCTACTCTCTAATTCTCTTATTCTCCATTCTCCAATATATTATATTTATTATTTATAGTTTATATTAATTATCTACTTATATAAACTATAAATAGATATAAATAGTATTATATTACTTATATTTGTTATCTAATTATATATTACTTATATATTTATTATATCTATTAATATAGTTAGAATTATATCTAATTAATTTGAAGTCATTCTATTACTCTCATCCGAAAGACCGAAAGTCCGAAAGAGGTACGAAATTATTCTATTATTTACACTTGTTTAATTACTAGTTAATTTGCTACATTTGACTTTAGTTTAATAGTTAGATAAATAGTTAATTACTTTTTTACAATGTTTTATTAATTGCTACATTTGACTCTAGTTTAAAAAAATATGTTGTACACAAAAGTAGTTAATTCACTACTTAATTTGCTATAACTCGAATTAATAGTTAGATAAATAGTTAATTACTTTTTTACAATTTTTTATTAATTGCTACATTTGACTCTAGTTTAAAAAATATGTTGTACACAAAACTAGTTAATTCACTAGTTAATTTGCTATAACTCGATTTAATAGTTACATGAATAGTTAATTAGTTTTTTACAATTTTTTATTAATTGCTACATTTGACTCTAGTTTAAAAAATATGTTGTACACAAAACTAGTTAATTCACTAGTTAATTTGCTATAACTCGATTTAATAGTTACATAAATAGTTAATTAGTTTTTTAAAATTTTTTATTAATTGCTACATTTGACTCTAGTTTAAAAAAATATGTTGTACACAAAAGTAGTTAATTCACTACTTAATTTGCTATAACTCGAATTAATAGTTAGATAAATAGTTAATTACTTATTTACAATTTTTTATTAATTGCTACATTTGACTCTAGTTTAAAAAATATGTTGTACACAAAACTAGTTAATTCACTAGTTAATTTGCTATAACTCGATTTAATAGTTACATAAATAGTTAATTAGTTTTTTACAATTTTTTATTAATCGCTACATTTTTTAGATGGATCGTCCTAGATATTCGGTTGATATGGGTAACCTTGAGCGCAACCGAACGAAAGAGCTTGCGAGGAAGAGATCCTGCAAAGGTAAATCACATATCGGCTCTTCATCTCAAAGTCGAGATGATTTTGATACGGGTTACGCAAGGAGGGATGGGGATGCGATGACCGACGAACAACTAGAACAAGAATTGCACTGACATAATTCCCGCTTTTTTGAAGACCAACCGAGGACCATTGACGAAGAAGAGCTCGAGGACGAGGACGACGATGTGGAGGAAGTAATTCCGGAGAGCCACGACGAGGAGGAGGAGGAGGAGGGTTGCGGCAGCCATGATGCCGACCAAGCAGCCTCATCCCAAACAGGTACAAAAAAAGTAAATCTGAACTAATGGCTAATAATTTTTCTAAGTGGAAGGACCCGAACACCGGGAATTGGACAGCAACTTGCAATTGGTGCAAGAAAAACTATAGCTTGGGGATTTCCGGCGGATACGGATCCGCCACAAGACACCTTAAGTCCAAACACCCGGTGGAGTATGCAAAATTAGGCGGCGGAACGGGGAAGCAAACGCAAATATCGAGGTTTGCAAATAACCAACAAGCTTTTGGTAATTTCTCATACAATGATGCACAAAATTTGACAGGTATGGCTAACTTACTTGTTGAAGAAAATTTGCCTTATTTGTTTTCTGAAAGTCTTGCTTTTCGTGATTATGCACAAACTTGTTTAAATCCGCAATATAGAGGTTATAGTCGCAAAATGGTTAAGAAAGAAATTTCAAGGCTTTATGGTGCGGAAAAGGTAAGGTTACAAAATTATTATGCAAACTTTGATGGACGTGTTACTGTATGTTCTGACATATGGGAGGATACTTGTCATAATTTACATTATTTAGGTCTGACTGTACATTATATTGATAATGATTGGCATATGCATAAACGTGTTCTTGCTTTCCGTGAATTTAATGATCGTCACACCGTTGAACATATTTATATTTTGATTGAACGTATTTTAATTGAGTATAATTTAATTGATAAGGTGTTTGCTATTGGTTTTGATAAAGCTACTAATAATACTGCTGCTATTCCTAGATTGCGTGAATTGTGTGGTTCTACTTCTTTGATGGGTAGATTTTTTCATCAACGATGTGCATGTCATGTTCTAAATTTATGTGTGCAAGATGGTCTAAAAGCGTTGGGAGCATCGTTGGAGGTAGTCAAGGGTGGGGGGATTAGACGTATTTGGGGTAATGGACAACTTAGGAAAAAATGGCATGATTATTTGATAGAAAGGGGTGAGAGATATGTGGCTTTTCCTAAAGATTTGTCTATTCGTTGGAATAGTACCTATAAGTTAATTGGAGTTCTTCTTAGATATAAACAACATTTTCCTGCTTTTATGAAACAATATGATAACTATATTATAAACTCGGCTGAGATCGACACCTGTGAAAAAATTTGTAATGCTTTGATATATTTTAATAATGCAACTGAAACTTTTAGTCATGATTATAAACCTATCTCAAACCAATTTATTTGTGAAGCTGTTAATCTCGCCGGTGCTTTTTCAAATTTTGAGAATGCTGATTATGTGAGTTATTTTGCTAGTTTTATGAAGGAAAAGTTTTTAAAATATTATTCACATATTCCGCATATTTATGGTATTGCATTTGTTCTCGATCCTCGTTTTAGACTTGGTTCTTTAGAAGAATGTTTGAATTATTATTATGCTGTTTTTTTTGTCCATTGCCAATGTATGAGGACAACCCAATTGATACGAAAAAAGAATACAACGAGATTAGTGATATATTTTATGCATTATTCAATGAGTTTCATGCACAATATGGCAATGCACCCCCTCCCCCGACACAAACATCATCTAAAGGAAAATTAATTTTCAAATCTACGTTTGCCAATCTTATTAAAAAACGAAATCAACTCCCGCTACACTAGGGGTGGGCATGAAAAACCGTAACCGATTAACCGTACTAAATAACCGAAAAAACGGTGTTTTCACGGTTAACCATACCGTGTTTTTAAAAATTCACGGTACGGTTAACCAACCGAAAGAAACAACGGTTCACGGGACGATTACGGTTATGAAACTAAACTACCGCCGGTTAACCGATAATCTAAATATCACATCTAAACTAATGTCAGTCAAGTATTGCATGACTCACATGTGCATTAAACCGTTAATATTAGTGAATAGTGAGTAATGTTAGAGTCAGCAAAAAGTGGTGGTTTATTGGAATCGGAGCTATATTATTGTTATTAATATTATTATCAGTTATTAATTAATTAACTTGTCATACGGCACAATCACAATTAAGGCATGTCTTGGAACACTATATATACAGGCATGTCTTGGAACACTATATATACAACGCTTCGGTACATAATACGGAGTACTAGTTTTCCCTACAAGGAGATCGTTTTTTAGTTAAATCGGGTGTTTTTATCTAATTTTCATCCCACTTCCCTTCAAACATTAAAAAAATTAAATTAAAAAAAAGTAGTAGAGAATATATGGGAAAACCTTCTACGGGAGCCTATATTGGATTCTTACGGGTCAGCGAAATCTCTTGGAGTAAATGTTCAATTATAAGAGGCGGCACATTTGTAGTTGTTCAAATGGTTTTTTGGTTAACCAATAATTGGTTAACCTATATTATGGTTAATTGTTACCCGGTTAACCGATGTTACGGTACGGTTAATGATATTATAGAAATATTAACCGAAAACACGGTTAACCAAAAAATTGGTTAACCAAAATGCGGTTAACCAACCGTGCCCACCCCTACGCTACACAACAAAGCACAATTAATGAGATTTCTTTGTATTTAACTTATGATGTTGATTTTGAAGAAGATGATGATTTTGACGTACTAAACTGGTGGAAGGGAAAAGAAAGAATGTTCCCGGTTTTAGCAAAGATGGCTAAGCAAGTGCTATCAATGCCGGTTTCAACGGTTGCCGTGGAATAAGAATTTAGTTCAGCCGGCAATATCCTAACACAAACCAGAACGAGGTTGAGGGCTGAATCTCTTGAGATGCTTATATGCTAACACAATTGGTTGAAAGCAGCCCGTAGAGCTCAAGAAATTGACATCACCTCATCCCAACACTTTATGAATGAATCTACAACCGAGGGTGACTCTACCTATGTCGGAGATTCCGATTAAAAACAATTATAGTTCCTATTTAATTTTCAAATGTAGTTCCTATTTCATTTCAAATAAATGCACTTGAAGTTTATTTTTTAATACTTGTATAAAACTATAAAGTATAAAATATAAATTAAAAAAAAATATTTAACCGGACCGGCCCGGCGGGTGGCCCGACCCGTGACCCGGGCGGGTGGCCCGGCCCGAACCGGACCCGTCCAACCCTCGGGCCGGTCCCGGGCCCATGTGATACGAACCGGCGGCCCGACCGGGCCCGGCCCGAATCCATCCCTAGGTGGACCCAAGCCGGTTCGGACTAGCCCGGTTGGTGCCAACCGGGCCCGGGCTTTAACCTGATTGGGTAGGGTTGGGCGGGTCAGGCTCGGGCCCTATATTTGTTGAACCGGTCTGGACGATTCAGGCCGGGCCAGGGCTTCTTTTATTTATTTTTTTGGTTTTTTCAATTTTTTTAGGTTTTTCTTGGTTAGGGCTGGGCATTTGGGGGGGGTTGGGGTGGGGGTGAGGGGGGTTAATTAGAAAGCAAAAAAATTACCTTGACCCGGGCCCAGCCCGGCCCGATTAGGCCCGGACCCGGTATCAACCCGGGCCGATTCCGGGCCCAACAATTTGAAAAAAAACCCGTCCGGGCCCGGCCCGGAACCAGAACCGGGTCCACCCCTAATGTCAAGTACGGACAGACTACAACATTAGCTCAAATATTGATCTTGCATAGATAAAAATCGAGGAACTGAGGAAGTCGTGTTTTGTATATTGAATTAATAAAACTCAAGTGGAATAAAGATCAAAAACTATAAATAAAGGTTGGACAATCCACGAATCAATCATTCCTTTGACCTGTCGTACCAATTTTTGGACATCCTTTGGCAGCGGAACTGCTCTTAGTACAAATAAAAATGGAACTAATCTCTTACTACAAATTGAAGTGACAGAAACTATCATGTCTAGGCTGCCTAGGCAAGCAACATTTATGTCTCTCACTTCATTGAGCCATTCCCAGTCGAGTAAAAAAAACTTCCAAATGGGACTAAAAACTACATATTCAGCATTGCCACTCCTAAGTGTTATCTAAAAGACTAAAATCTCTCATATCCCAAATTAGCGGTTCGCACTATTGACTAGTTAAAAAAATCATTTTTACTGCATTTTTGTTGTTGTAGCCTACAGTTCCTACTATAAATTTCACCTCAGATGCCACAAGAACTCTGATTGCAGGCATTTACATTTCCTTTTTTTCCTTTTTACCGCCCCGATCAATCCCCATCTTGCAACATAGTTCTTACTTCTTACGCCTCCAGGGATTATTGAACGCACTAAACCATCTCCAAAATCTTCATATTACCCATTGAGTTTGCAGCAACTAAGGTGGATGACTTACCATGCCAGCAAACAGATGAGATAAACTGTGAAGCATCATCCATTGCATCTCCACAAAGTGGGTCTGTGCTAGTAAACTTGTTTGAAGATAATGCAGGCATTGGAAAAGCTTTGTGGTAAATAAAAACCTGTATACCACATGTCACAGAAGAAGCGTCAGCATGTCCCAAGTGTGATTGAGAAAATGAAATGCTTCAATCGACACGTTACGCGTACAAAGACCCGAACGAAACTTGGATGGAAGGACACAAAGGATTGGAACAGAACAAAAAGAGAAAAAAATTGATATCCCCACATAAGGTAGAATGGGTAGAGCAATTAGTTTTGCACAAGTGAGGCTTTATAATGTTAATAGTAAACAGACAGCATATTAGCGTAGTAAGATGCATATGATTTTAAGTAAGGAAGATCATATTCTAAATTTCTTATTCTATTTGGAACCCTCAAAATAACCATTTAGTGACTCATTCTATACCACCCACGTAAGTAGTGTGAGTTTATCCCCAAAGATAGACTGCATGTGGATTTATATGCATGGTTTAAAAGGCACCTTTAATCCTTATGTAAATAAACTGGGGCTTATGGTAGAGGCATTTTCTGAGGCTCAAGCCTCATGTTTGTACTTTTAAGTTTTAAGTTGCTTCTTAGATTATTATTTTTAAGTAAGTGTCAAATTGGACGTAAAGTTTTTCAATAACTAGTCACTAAGCCCATAAAAAACCCAAGAATCTATTTGCCAATACTTTTTCTGTTCTCTTTTTTAAAAAATGTTCAGGTAACATTAAAAACTCCAGCTATTTTTCCCTTTTTATTTCAAAAATAACAACAAAAGTAACATAAATTATTTTAGTTTTTTTTGTAATCAAATTGCTCCAGAATACAAAAAATTTAAACTCCAGCAATTTCTTCTCGTTTTTCACTTTAAAACTTATTATTATACTTAGGACAATAAATCTTAAAATCCTTCTTTCTTTAAGAAGTTAAATTTATTGTGGATGTCTATGACACTTAATGACTTACTTATATAGTTATATGTATGATTGATAACATGTTTCAGATGGCTAGTAGTTTTGAATTGGAAAGAAAGTTCAGTATAAAGTTTGAGGCTTACGCCTCGAGGATGCCTAGCCTCACATCTGCAAAATGCATCTAGGGCTTAACAGCACCTTTTTAGACTTCAGTTATACGCAACATCAGGAATATTTACATTCCTTTGTAGTAAATGTTAAACATCTATTTATAATAGGATAAAAGCATTGCAAGTTTTCCATCATTTGCAATGGAGACCCAAAGATTCATTATTTTTTGGCTTGAGATTATGATGGAATAAAGCAAAATGGCTCACTAAACTGTCTGCACTTCTTTGTTAAGGAGCAGCAGTCAGTCCATGCAATTTTGGACGCGATTTTCACTATGGGTCATCCGGAAACAGTCTCTCTGTGCTTTAGTACAGGGGTAAAACTGTGTACATCCGACCCCCCCTTACCCCACCGTAGGTGGGAGCCTTTGCGGCACTGGGGTAAATGAAAATGAAATGAAAATGATAAAAGCATTGCAAGATTATGTTCTTGCATGTGATATATGTACTATACTATTATTGATGACCAGATCCACAAGGATCTAGGAACTACTGACACTTCTAAAATGGTAAAAACACATGTGTGGGACATGCCAGGGTGCAGGGAAATAGCAAGCCATGCCTAAGTTTTGATAACTTCTTCTAAAATGGGCTAGTGACGGACGTTTCAGGGACACAATCTACCTTTTCATATTTCACATCTACCGATCTCTTATTCTAAATGAAAAATGGATTTTATGTTATTATTTCTATTACTTTTAGTTTATCTATCTATTAATTAATTATTATTATTATCCTCTCTTTTTCTTTTATCATTTCTCTTCTTTATCTTTTTATGTTCTTATGTTATTTTATATTCTAGCTTTTTTATGCTCTTTTGTCGTTTTATCTTTTATCTTTCTTATGTTCTTATGTTATTGTTATCTTATATTTATTTATCTTTAATCTTTATCGTATCCGTTTTATCTTACATTAATTTTTTTCTTCTTTTTCTTCCTGTTTGTCTTCTCTTTATGGCACTTATATCATGGATCGATTCATGTTAGCCGACCCCAAAATCTTTTGGGATTAAGGCTCGGATGTTGTTGTTGTATGGATGTTGTATTATTATTATATTATTGTATGGATATATACCTGGGTGGACATAAACAAATTTCCATCACTCTTATGATGGAAATTTAATAAAAATCACAAGTTTTAATAGTAACCCATACGTGCAGGCATACCCTTCTATGTGCTTGATAGTCTATAAGGTTTCTCCTTGAGTATGTTTGAAATAAAGTCCAGAATGAATATGAAAAAAGTGAGTACCTCATTTGTTTCTGAACCGGTTGCAATGTAACCATCAGATACAGATAGGCCAACGAAGTTCTGTAACAAGAGAACTCTGTTAGCAAAGAGCCATGTTTCTTCAATATCTTTAAATGGGAATTAAAATAACCATTATAAATATAATATGAAGACAAAAAAATTAGGGAGAGAAGAGAGAGAGAGATCTGGGTTTTGCAATAAATGAATACTCTGCACTGCATTACTAACACACAATAGGAAATACTAAACATCTCATAATCTGAACTTCAGTAAATCTTCCACTCACCCTTACTTTCATCTAGGTTTCTCGAGTTTTCACCCCGTCAGTAATTTATAGAGATAGCAACAGAAGTAATTGAGCAAAAGATATATTATATTCTGATTTCTAAATATGATATTAGCATTGGTTGTTGATCTAATATCAAGTTATCAACTTATTTTGCAACATTGATGTTGGCGATCACAAATATGTTATTACTCAAACTAATTAATAATTAGGTACCATAAAAATATACACCTTACAGGAATTAGGATAGGTTCACAGGAAATATTTAAGCATATTTAGCGAGTATAGAGCCATAGAGGTTACTCAAATTACACCACAAATGTAGTCGTAGTGAATCTTCACTCACGCAACTGAACTATCTTTATCTTTCCTTAGTACCAAGTATGTAGATAATTTAAATTCCAAATCTATATAAAACTGCTGAAACTTGATGAAAATTACCTTTACATTCGTGTGTCCAGTATATGACTGAAGAGGGCAATCAATAGTTCGAGATGTGGACATTGACAAATCCCAAAGCTTTATTGTGTTATCTGTTGATGCAGACACAAGTGTTGTTGAATCAATAAACTTAACATAGCTTATCGTCTTGTTGTGACCGATTAGAGTGCATAAAGGCACTTTAGAGTTCCGTAGATCATAGTAATAGATCTTGTGATCTGCTGAACCAAATGCAAGGGAATGACCAGAATCAAAGGGAAATTGAACACAGCACACATTTGCTTTTGTTTTTATGGTTCCAACACTGCCACCCTGTAAAAGCATGTAAAAGTAACTAACTACATATAGAGAATTAAATACATACTGAAAAAATAACCAGTGTTTAAAAAGGCGCTTATAAGTCTTGAAGTGTTCTGCATTTGTGAGGCAAAGTGTAGGCCTCAGTGCAGTTTGAGGTGTAAACCCCAAACAATATACTGAATTTTCCTTTACAATTCAAAATTATTAACAATCTAAAACATATTATGAATCATACATAAGCATGAGTCATGAATATTATAGACCACTATAATAAGTTTAACTTTTTAAAGAAAAAATAATCTGTGTAAAATCAGAAGTTAAAATGAGGATAACGGAAAAGAAATCATCAGTCGTGAATTTTTATATTCTTGAGCAACTTAATTGATAGAAGAAAAAGTGACTAATTACTGAAACTTGTCGGAAGAAGAGAAGAATATTCTGGCAAATAGATTTCAGGGCTTTTCATTGGATTAGTAATTAATTATAGAAAATTAATAGATCTAGTGTGACTCTTATTTAAAAACAATAGACCAAATACACATAAAACTAAAAAAGTAAAAAATATGAGGCTTAAGCCTCCTAAGAAGCCTCAACCTTATAATGCCTAAAATTCTCTTGACACTTAAGCCTCAAGGTATTTTTTCTCTGCCTCACACTGAAGGAAGTCTCACAAGAACCTTTATGAACCATGAAAATAACGACAAAGCTGTTGTACTTGGTTTCAAAGATGACATCCCCAAAATTCAAAAATATATAATTGCCTGATTGATGTTCCACAGTTTAACAGAACCGTCGTCACTGCCGCTGGCCAACATAGTCGGATCTGCTACTGAGAAGTCCACGGACCAGACCCTCCTCTCATGCTCTCTCATTTCCATGAAAAGTTGGCTTCTTGTGACATCCCATACCTGGACAAAGAATTATAGACGGTTTCATTTTTTATGCAATTCCAACAGAAAAGTAAGCATGACACAATGAGTATATGACCTACCTGCACTAAACCTTCAAAGTTACTCGAAGCAATTTGGCTTTTGATATAGCTATTCCAACAAATACTGCTTAGCTTTGATTTACTAACCATTTCGACAACGGGATAATGAATATCATGATCTTCATTTAAGATTGAATTGTAATCAAAGACCTTGATTTTCCTATTTACACCAGCACTTGCAAAAAAATCACCATCACGGTCGAAGCTCAGAGAGCACACAAGATTTGAAGAATTTAGAAGATCCCCTTGCTTTAAGTCTGCCTTCACGTCTAGCTTACTGAAAGAGAGATACTTGCACAGGCCCTCTAGGAACGAATTAATCCATCCACTCTGTGTTCCCTTATTGTAGTAGCTTCCCTTTGATGACAAATTACTGACAGAGCTCCTATCAGTAGCTAAGGCTAAAACCTTACCATCACTACCTATTTGAGAATGTCTACTCAATGGTTTATCGATTGGTTTTACACATCTGCGTCTTGTCATGTAATAAGCTGACTCTATATTTTTGAAATTCTTCATCAAACGGGAATTTTTGGAGAGAAAAGTCCCTTCATCTTCAACAAGTGTCCTTGATGTCTGATACTCATTCACATGGTTGCCAGACTCCTCTGAATAGCAGGGACCAATGCCTGTCCTGAATCGCTTTCTAGATCCTGTGTTCCCATCATCATCAGCCTTATTATTCCTATTTGAAGCTGGATCCTTACCTGCTTCAAGATCAGATCCTTCCTTTACCCGCAGTGTTGTCTTCATATTAGTAACTTCTTCTATATCAGCAGAAAGAAAAGATACGGTCTCATTCAAATCGTGTGCAGCCTCTTGTTTTCTCTGTTGCATAAGCAAAAGAAACTCCAACAGCCTTTCCTGCTCATCTATTTTTTCTCTAAGCTCATTTGCTGCTTCACGGTCTTCTAGATATTCTTTCGGATCATTAAGGAACTCACTTCGTGACAGGTCACTGTTATCATTTGTAAAGTGAGTATGAGAATGAAAGAATGAATATGTGAAGGGGCACTAGGCTCATGGTAAAACTATTGCTGGTGATATATTCTCATAAAATCTCTTTCAATGTAATTCCAGTTCAAAATCAACAGTTAGTGGGAGTCTATAAATTTGATTGCCAGTTCAGAGATCATGTTGCAAATGCATTTGTCCCTTTTATCTGAGAAAGAAAATGTTAGGGGTTTAGTGGAGTGAGAACATTTGAGGGGCAAGAACAATTATTCCAATTGCAGTGGACACTAGCTTTCCGTTTTTAAGTTTGAATCATCAACACTCCAGTAAAGCACATAAACAAGCAATTTGCTAAAGATTGGCAGCAAAAAAATACCCACCTAAAACTGTTATGATTGAATTGGCACATCATGTAAAGTACAGATCAGTAGATAAGATTTCACTTTCACAAGTCAAAACACTTACGACAAACACCAGTAAGAGTTCATAATAGCATATAGATATGTTTAAAGAAGATGAATTGATATGCAAGGCCTTTCATTAAGAAGAAGCATACGGCAAGAAACAATTTAAAGATATCATATTAAGCTGACAAGAGGCGAAAAGATTCTCACCCCAAAGTTGGCCTACCACTGGGCTCAGGGTGCAGCAACCACAAGCAAAATGAAGCTTCTTTAGGCCACTTCAAAAGCAACTGGGGAGGGAGGACTCGATGTCTCAGACTAGACATAGTGACACTTTTCTCTTCCGGTGAGCTGCAGGTGCAGAATAGCTGTTCGAGAGAGAGAGAGAGAGAGAGAGAGAGAGAGACTAAACGTTGAGACCAGAGAATAATCATAAGCCAGGCTTAACTTATGGGTTCTTTACTTATGACTTAATATGTATAACCATGACATAATTGTTCAGCCATCAAGAAATGTTTATTTCCGGCTTAAGTGGAAACACGACTTATTCATTCACCAAAAACGTTCCTTAATTATTCAGCCTTGATTATATTTTATCTTAAATTTTTTATCCTTTATCCTAGCATTTTATTTATCTTTATCTTATCTTTATCGTGGCATTTTATCCTTGTTATCTTACCTTATCTTTTTTCTTTCTTATCATTGTATCCTTCTTATCTTTTTTCCGATTTCATATGTCGATTCATGTTAGCCGACCCCACTCTTTTGGGACTAAAGCTTGGATGTTGTTGTAATCATTCAACCTTGATATATTACTGGATCCCATTGAAAGGGCTATTCGCCAAAACATACTATCCTCCGTTCCATAAAAGTTGCAACAGTTTGCCAACGCGCAACTTTGACTGTAATTATATTTATTTACGTATTAGTAAACATTAAAAAAGTTAATATATTGGAAATTTACATTAATACAAATTTATTAATATTTTATGCATAATATTTTTATTATATACTTCCTCCGTCTCTTTTTAGTTGCAACAATCAACATTTCACGTTTGCCAACGCACAACTTTGACCGTCAGTATATTTAATTCTGTATTAGTAAAAATAAAATAAAAATCAGATTATAAAACTTAGTAATGAGACGAATTTAACAATATTTTTCAAAAAAAAAATAGTTCACATACATTAATAAATAAAATGCAGTCAAAGTAAAGTACATGAATAGTGCATATATTCCAATGTTGCAATTAATGCGATACGGAGGATAGTATATTATTAGAAAATCGTAGTAAAAGTAAGGTGTGTGAATAGTGCAGAAATACCAATGTTGCAATTTTTATGGAACGGAGGAAGTATTAAAGAAACCATTGACAAGGCAACCAAAAAATAACCTTAAATGGGTTATTTTACACAATTCAGACAAATTATTTAGCACACAAAGTAAACAGCCTCTTACACAAAGACCACTTAATTCAAACACATGAAGACAGATATCGTAATACAAAAAGATATCTTAGTCGTCGCAGAACATAATGAAAAGAAAGAGTAAACAACCCCTTAGTGTTATTAGCTACTAACCTCAAAGAGGAGGACTCCAAGTCGATAAATGTCTGAGGCGCAAGAGCTTGGAGCACCGGCAGCTTCTTCTGGGCTAGTGTACCAACTGGCTTCCAAAAGCACTGTTTGTTTCATGGGGAAAGAATGCTTCTCCTCCTCTTCTACCTCGATTTGTTGGCTCTTAATGGCCAGGCATGGTTTCTGCTGTTGGAAAATGGATTCAGTAACGATGGGGAAAGCAATGGTAGGATTCCTCTGAACTTGCAATCTTTGGGCTACAGATTGCTTTCCTTCAAGTTCAGAGTCATGAGGCGAAGGTGAATGTGAACCCTCAAAATGTGCTGCTTGGCTGTTTAGCCTATCTTCAAGAGAACCAAGAGTGGAATTAAAGCAGGATGCTGATTCAATAAAGGCAACACGGTTGAATGCCGACAAAATGAAATAAGACGGCCGTACATTGTGAAAGACAATTCCCTGAGAATGTGACACATTAACAATCTCCACAATTTGAGTGAATATGTGCAAACACTCAAAAGCGTCAACTGTTCTTTCTGGATTGTCCAGCAACTTTCTCAAACTAACCACCCTGCCATCTCTATTAGGCACTACCTCCCCCTTCACAAATTCAGTGTGGGCTCTAGGCTGATTCATATGAGGCAACAGTGTTTTCTCTCTTCCCTTTCTTGTTGGGATAAGCCCGGAATCAGGCAATGCATTACTAGATGACCTCACAGCGCTGCCATGAACCAATCTCAGATTTCTGGAACTGTTTGAGTTATGCCAATCAGACTCAGATGAACCATCCATTATTAAGGAAGTACAATTCCATGAACCCAATGCACACCAAAACAATCAAGATATTGGTGATTTCTCATACTCACAAAACATACTTCAATTTGTACCATAATCATGTGTCATAAAGCAAATACTTTTGACAGGAGAAATCACCCAATCGTACAAAACAACCCAGGCACACAAAATTGTAATGGATCACTGAACTGCAATGATCTTGGGCGCATTCATGTGAGATAAAGGAGGTGAGTGTGATACAGAGATATCTGAAGATGTCCGCATAGGAGAAGTGGCTCAGCTGCTTCAATAGTTCTTTCTATATGTCAGCCAGGGCAAACAGAAGAACCAGAGCCACACAACAGATACTTAAACCCCCAACCAGAACACTGTGCTTTTATTATTCCGAGGATGCACCGCAGCCTCACGAATTTCCAATAAATAATACGGACTACTGTCTTTTTTTCTTTTTATTCCTGTAAGAATTAAACCGGATAAAAAAGAAAACAGAAACGGCAACCTCTTCTTTTTCCACCCACAGAAAACTACTTACACCGGCATAGCGCACAGTAACATTGAACAAGATTTGGTTGTTTAGAAACCCTAGCGTGCTTGTTTTTATCTCCATCTCTTTCATTTCCGCTCCTATTCCATCGCCTGTAACGTGGCTTATTCTCATCCTCAAAGGCTCACTCATGGAATCCCAAAGGCAAAATCGTAAATTAAGTTGAATTTCGGACCCATTGCAGACCTGCATCAGCGAATAAGCACGCGGATATGCAACCACAAGAATCTCCAATTTCCAAACTCGCGGCATCAGATTCATAGGGAAAAGCAGAAAAGGTTAAGATTTTAAGGTTACCAAATAATTTTAAAAAATAAATCAATATTGAAGTATGTTTCATAAAATGAAATTGTTTGTGGAAATGATATACTAGTATGAAATTGTTTCATAAATGTTTCAATATTAAGGTTTCATAAATAATATAGAGAATTCTCTAAATAGAAGCACAAAAAATTTTAAAATTTCAAAATAGGACTATCATGTTTTTTATTCCTTGGATATGAATAATTTCTGTCAAACTTGGCATTACTAAGTTTCAAAATAGGACTATCATGTTTTTTATTCCTTGGATATGAAAAAATTCAAAATAGGACTATCATGGTATTTTTTCCAAACTTGACAGATTACTCATATTCAGAGAATAAAAAACATGATACTCCTATTTTGGAATTTCAAAACGTTTTTGCTCCTATTTAGAGTAATTGCTATAAATAATACTACTTCCGTCCCGAAATGAAGTTCACATTCACTATTCATTGGTCAACTTAAATCACTCCTAATCTTTTATTTTATACTAGTATATCAAATTTTTATCAATTTTAATGTTTTTTATCAGGCTTTGTATCAGTTTTAATGCAGTTTCTGAATATGTAAATTTTATTTACTAAAAATAATTGGAATGTGAACATGGATCGAGTTGCTTTATCGTCAGTCAAACATCGTAAACATGGATCGAGTATAAGTTACTAATAACGCTTATAACGATAATGATAGTGATACTTATAAGTTATAATTATAATTATAATGTTAATGGGTATGATTTATATTAATATTAGACAAAAGTACGGTAAAGTACTTGTTGTTTGAGTAGTTTTTAAATAGGGGTGATAGAGTATATTGTATAACTAGTACAAAAAGTGTTTGTTGTATTATTCATTGTTGTAGCACCATAGAAATTACTACGGAGTACAATATAGTACTACATCCGTTTCATTTAAAGGTTCTTGTGGCAAAATGGCACGATTATTTAGACAATAATTAAATATGTTAATTCTAGTATATTTTGAGAAATAATTTTGATGAGTATATAATATAATGGGTTATTGATGATAACTGTGATTTTACAAATGTACTATTTTTAGTAATTGATGATTAAATTGTCATATGAGAGTGTTATTTGTTTCCTAAAATAGAAAGTGAGAACCTTTAAGTAGGACGTCCAAAAAAAGAAAAGTGAGAACCTTTAAATGGGACGGAGGGGGTAGTCGTTATAACATTATTGTACCAAAAATGCTACAATAAAATGATAAATTGCTGCAATACATCTATTGTAACATTAGTTGGATGCAACATTCTAAAAATGATGCATTTCAAATATTGTGACATTTTTGACACCTATTGCAACATTTTGCATATGCTACAAAAGCTATACTTTGGTGTAGTGATATTGGACCCCCGTTTGCTGATTATTGGGCCTGGACAGCGGCCCGAATACAGTGGTGGATAATATTCACATTATTGTAAATTATTATTATTATTATTATTCGAGTATTCCAGATTAATTTTTATATTATTAATCCTTTTATGCAACTGGGTCTGTCAGACCAATATTAGAAGTCCAGACTCGGAATTTCCTATATATATATATATATATATATATATATATATATATATATATATATATATATATATATATATATATATATATATATATATATATATACCCCTTATAAACCCTAACACATAATTAAATACTCATTCATAATACACAACACTTACCATCTTTTTTCCATTTTCTCTGAATATCTCCACAACCGGTCTCGTCCATCTACTCAGCAGATGTTGACCGTTGGAGCTTCACGCCTTGACCGAAGGGCTCACCCGTTTTGCTTCATTTTGGGGGCATTCCATGTACTCTTTTTCCCTCATTAGAATTATTTTCCCGCATGTTTTTTTCAATGAGGATTTTAACAAGGCATCTCCCCATTGGGAACAAAAAGTATCGACCATCGCCCTCTATTGGAGTCATCACGAGACATGCAATACTCTAATCATCTTCATCTCACTACACTCGCCTTAAGGAGTGGAGGATTGGAAGAGCGGTGGACTTAGCGCCTCCGTTAATCAAAGAAGCATAAATTCAAATTTTTCACAAGGTTTGCCACATGCACCGACGACATCATCACATCATATGCAGATTTAGTTACCACAGCAGCAGGACCGATTGTGATGATCTCTGGCCTGCGACCTTAAACTGCGAATTCTCCCACACTATTGCCTCAGTTAAGGCTTACCAATGAGATCAGATCAGCGGCTTGGAAATCCGAGCGAGGCGCCTCGACAATGACAACAGTGTACTCCATCAGACGACGACAGATCAGCACATAATTCTACTCCCTTTCGCCTCAAATACTTTCACGATTCTTTTGTCTGGAAAGCGGCTCACACACTCTTAGCAAGCGTCATTTATATTATTCTACAGTTCACGTATCATTTGTATCTACTAGATTAACCTTTTATGTCGTTGGACGTATCGGGTCCATATTAGCGCCCTGACCCAAAATTGTTCAAAATTCACTTTAACATTCATTAAATAATGTCAAAATTCCACAATCAAGTGATTTCTCGTGCACTGCCTGTTCTCTTGGCAAAATAATTATCAGGCCATCTTTATACAAAATTGGAGTTGAATCTCATGCATTTTTAGAAATAATTCAAGGAGATATTTGTGGGCCAATTATCCCTCCGTATGGACCTTTCGATACTTTATGGTGCTCATTGATGCATCAACACGTTGGTCACACGTCAGTTTTTTATCGACTAGAAATTTTGCTTTTTCAAATCTCCTTGCTCAAATTATTCATTTGTGATCACAATTTTCGGATTATTCAATATAGAAAATCCGACTTGATAATGCACGGGAATTTACATCACAATCTTTTAATGACTATTGCATGTCAATTGGGATTGATGTGGAACATCCACTTCCACATGTGAATACACAAAATGGTCTCGCTGAATCCTTAATTAAGTGATTACAATCAATTGCTAGACCATTATTGATGAAATCTAGATTACCATCATCTGCATGGGGATATGCTATAATGCATGCTGTAAATTTAATTCGGCTTAGGCCAACTGCATATCATATATTTTCCCCATTGCAATTAGTATCTAGTAAAGAATCAAATATATCACACATAAAAATATTTGGTTGTTCTGTGTATGTATCAATTGCTCCACCTTATCGTACTAAAATGGGTTCTCAAAGAAGACTAGAAATTTATGTTGGTTTTAAATGTCCCTCAATTATTAATTATCTAGAACCTATGACCGGTGACTTATTCCCAGACTGGAAATTTATGTTGGTTTTAAATCACCGCATGATTCAATGACTGTCATTTTGATGAGACGGTATTCCCAGACTTAGGAGAAGATAATAGAGAAATGGACCCACATATGAAAGATATTACTTGGAATACAACAAATTTATCTTTTCTTGATTCTCGCACAAATGCTAGTGAACAAGAAATTCAAAAGATCATTCATTTACAAAATGTTGCAAACCAATTGTCTGATGCTTTCAAAGTCTCAAAGAAAGTGACAAAGTCACATATTCCAGCTACGAATGCTCCTTCTCGAATAGAAATTCCTGTGGAGATTAGCAAAGAACTCTTGCTAATTAATCTATGATACATAAAAAACGTGGTAGACCACTTGGTTCAAGAGATTTGAAACAAAGAAAATTTAAAATGCAAGATGTAGTTTGTGATGCCAAAGAAGTTCAACCTTCTTAAGAAGAAAATGAACATTTTGAAAATATCGGCTTTGAAGATAACATCAATAATAATGATACCTCAAAATAGGATCCAATCACCTTTGAAGAGATAAATATTCCATATAAAGATAGAAACGTCGATAATTTTGAAATTTCAATCAATTACGTTTCTAATGGAATACGATGGAATAGAATAGATATTGATGTTAATGATATATATTCATATGCCATCGCCACAGATATAATGAATGAACACGATGACAATGAGCCTAAATCTATTGACGAATGTCGTCGTAGAAACGATTGCCAAAATGGAATGCATTTATTCAGGTAGAACTAAAATCGCTAGAAAAGCGTAATGTTTTTCGACCAATTGTCCACACGCCAAAAGGCATAAACCTGTAGGTTTTAAATGGGTTTTTGTGCGTAAACGCTACGGGAAAAATGAAATCGTTAGATACAAAGCCCGACTTGCTGCCCAATGTTTTTCTCAAATGCCAGGAATCGATTATGATGAGACGTATTGATGAAGTATATGGGTCTAGGCCCCAGGACTCACATACTCAGAAGAACAGAAAGTACAAGCCACTAAGTGGTGCCCTCGTCGGCCAAAGGACCCCCGTCAGCCGAAGAGGGACCGACTCAGAATATGATCCTGAAGCCAGGGAACTAGGGTGCCCCCGTCGGCCGTGCCCTCGTCGGCTGAACCCTCGTCGGCCACGGAAGCCTCACAGAATTAGATTTTACACTTATTCATTTCTATACCCCATCATTTACTTTGTATTCGGCCCAATAGCGATCCGGTTGTAAATGGGCCTCCCAAGCCCAAGGCTTGGGAGCCCAACCCGTATTTTCCCTATAAATACTTCCTCTGGAGGTAGTTGTAGGGGTTACAAAATCATTCTATTGAAGCATTTACTTGCACTTCTCTCTCTAGCTCTCACTTCTCTCTAGATATATACTCTATCATTTGGTGCTCTCGTTGAGAGCTAGAACAATCAAGTTAGCACCCTTCGTCGCTACCAAGCACAACTAACCACTGATCATGGGAAGAACCAAGTCAAACCGCAACCTCGTCAGCAAGGCCATCTATGAGGATCAGGAGACCAGGGAGCGTGAGGAGGACGCCACGGCCGACCAGGTCGAAGGAGGGGACGTCTTCCAGGAGGCCATCAACCTCACGACGGACCTGCGCACCCAGCTCAACGACGGCGCTCCTGATGCCCGCATCGGCCTGGACAAGAAGCGCACAGAAAAGACAGACCACGCCCCAGTCCAGCCTATGGTCGCGGCTTCTCCGTCTGTGGATCCACAGGTTCAGGCCGCGTTGTTG